TTTTATGGGCATTCTTACCTTTATAAAGCCATTTTTTCTAAAGGTGTACATCATCTTTTGAGTCAAATTCTTACACTTAATCAGTCAATTATAATAATAATACATTTAGGCCATTACTAAAATTAAATCAGTATCAATAAAATTAATCTTTGCAGAAGTTGAATATGAAGTGGCATTTAGATGCATTTACACATGTTAAAGGGGTCATATGATGCTGCTAAAAAGAACATTATTTTGTGTATTTGGTGTAATGAAATGTTATTAATAGACTGAATCATGCAGTGAAAGAACCACTCTAAAAGCGCACGCGCACTAAAGCCTGTGTTGGTCTACTCTAACCAGACTTCATCTCGTTGTGTATGCATGCCTCTGTAGGTGTGTTTTGTTTAGCTTTTGCAATATACTCGATAATGTCATGATGTCTCACGAGTTCAGTATTTGCGCTAAACCTGCGAAGATTTGGCTTACATGAACTTCCCCAATAAATGAATGAGTGAACATAATTTACGAAAAGTAAACCGCCAAATTGGCTAGTGATTTGACAGGGTTACCCGCCACAGCTGATTTTTACCCGCATTTGGCGGGTTGGCGGGTGTTAATTTCAAACCCTGATTACATGATACTGCTTATACAGAGGACCTATAACTAGTCTTGTTACACAATCAGTGTCACATAACACTAAGACACAACTACTTTGTACATTACAGGTGTCCAGACGACAGAGAATTTTTTGGACATTGACAGTTCGTTTTCACCAGCAGCTGGTGTAATATTTATGTCCTCTACACCTATAAAAAGGCCAGCAGAGAGGCCTCGTGTGGAACTGGAGGAAGAGGATGACAAAGAAACCCTAATGGACACATCATCCATAGTAGTAGTAACGAAGTGGAAGGAAGCTACCATATGGAAAAAGAAGGATTACAGAGGAGCGTTGCCCTGTTGGAAGCTCGTGGTGTTACTCTTGAGTGTATTGTAACTGAATAACTCCTCCGAGAACGTAACATCAACCAGTTCTATGATGTGTGGAGCATCAAAAAAAGGTTTTATTCCTTATAAACCATACAAATTCAATAACATCGTTTTTATAAGTAGGTATAATATGAAATTTAAGAAATTGTGACGGTTTCTATGTACACCTGGCCAGCCATAACACGAATATTTAGTACTGGCAAACTCTGAACATCACTGTATTTACTCTCAGTGGTAAAATGCTTGTCTATATTTTCATTTACAGGGATTGCGAGGCAACTTGGAAACATTTGCAATTTGAAAGACTGTGAAAAATTACGGAAATGGCTGAGAAGCATTAAAAACCACATTTACTGGACTGCAGCATCTTCAACCACTGGACCAGAAAGAGTGGCTAAATGGAGCTCGATTCTGAACCATGTCAGGGACATACACACACATGAGGATCCAAACTTTCCTGCTTGTCTACATCCTCAAAAGAGAAGCAGAGACAGAAACAAGTGGCTTGTTGCCGGTATGATACTGTGAAAAAGAATACTTTCTTGCAACACTCCATTTACAAAAATAAGGGACTGTCAGTAGAAGTATAAATAACCTAGAATTAAAATTATTATTTGTAAGTAATCCAGTTTTTTTTATCCTTTTTCATAGGAACTCAGGCATTCTTCAAACTGGAGAAAGTCGTGACAAACAAGCGGATTTTGAAGGACGCCACCAAACTGAGTCCGCATCACCAGACTTCATCTTTGGAGTCGTTTCATAGCGTCATTCTACGTTTTGCCCCAAAAAATGTGGTGTTCCCATTTCTTGGAATGTTGTGCAGGTGAAGTAATTGCTGTTAAAATAACTTAACATCAATATAGGCTTTTCAGTTTTCCTGAATTGTGTCTGTGCTAGTGATGCGCGGATGAGCTAAAACGTCACCCGAATCCGCAGCTTCAAATAAATTATCCACCCGCCAAC